CCCAAGCGGGTCTCGAACCCGTGGGCTCAGGCAATCCACTCACCTTAGCCTCCCAAAGCGCGGGATTACAGGCTGAGCCACCGAGCCCGGCTAGAGTTTATGTTAATGTAAACATATATGTAAATCACTAACACTGCTTTGTCATGACCACCCATATTTTTGAGGCTATATTAAGGATTTGAGACAAATATGCTGATCTCAGACAAAATTAGATTCTCTCTTGGTCTCATCCTGACCAATGTTGTTGTGACTGACATTAGCCAGCTCAGAATGGAGTTAGTGAAAGTACATAATTCGGCTCACTACTCTCATTCAATATAAGACTTGATATATTTGATCTCTTTGCACCCTATGTGTTTCTCTATGAACTTTGTTCTTTTCCACTATACCACTTGTATGGAATGTCCCCAAGACTACCTTCAAGTTTGATAGTTAGCTAGGGAGACTCACAGGGTTCAGCATATAGTCATACTTATGACTAAGATTTATTACAGTGAAAGGGTGCAAAGTAAAGTCCGCAAAGGGATAAAGCACAAAGGACAATGTTCAGAGGAAACTAGGTGCAAGCTTCTAAGAGTATTCTGGCAGTGGAGTCACACAAGATATGCTTAATCTACTTCAGTAGCAAGTGTGAAATGTGAGTGAAATGTTGTCAACAAGGGAAATTCATTAAAGATTGAGTTACCAAGGTTTTATTGGAGTTGTCTGACTAGCATGTACCAAAATTCCAGAGTTCCCGAAGGAGAGCAGATATTCGGCATAAACCTAATTATTTGTGCAGACATTTTAGGCACAGTAAGCCACTCTTATCATTTAGAGAATGTTTTATTATTATTATAGAATACTGTTTACCAGTCAAGTTCCCAAATGCCAACCAAGGGCCAACCTTGGCAAGAAAGCTTTTCTAATGGTAGCAATCTCGAGCATGCTAGGCTAACTCTTTTCTGCACAACATAAAACAACCCTCTTTTATAAGCAAATGGCAAAGTTTGAATTTAACCATCTTCTGCTTTTTGGTATGGAAATCTCTGCCTCCCTTCCTCACCCAAGCTAGTATAATTCTCTGGTCCATAGCCATTTTGGTCGCTTTCCTTCTATCCTCTGTTCCAACCCCAGTCGCCAGACACTCTCCCCAAACTAAATTGCTTGTAGTTGGAAGGTACTCCTCTGAACCATTCTGGAATCTGATGTCTGATACTTTGTGACTATTTTGCCAAGCTATAGTCCTATAAGCAACCTCAAATCAAGAATACCTGAATAAGGTACAAAACTGCTGTGCAGTTATAAGAACATTCAAGCATCCTAACTCTGACCTATATATCTCATCCCAGTGGACCTAGCACTCACCCTTTAGCTAATATTAATGCCTCCTTTTATCTCATTTCTTATTCTAACACGTAAGCAACTTCTCATCAAATATATATTTTAAATTATTCAGTAAGGAATAATTGAAAACCAAGATTGCCGTACTCAAAGAATTAAATTTTAAAGGATTTTGTCCAAAACATATTACTCAGTTTCTCAGTAAGAAACTCATATTCCTCTTATAAGAGAAAACATTCCTTAGGTCATCCACCATGTTTCTGAATATCAGAGCTGGTATAATCTAACCCACTGTTTTTTAAATTGCAAATCACAACCTATTAGTAGGTAGTGAAATAAATATAGTGAATCTCGGGAAGCATTTTATTTAAAAATAGAGAGTAGCAAATATCAGAGGGCTTCGTACTTAGTGTAAGTGAATATCACAAAACTTTTGTTTCAGTGAAGTCTACATGTGTGATAGGTCATAATGTAAAAATTGTTCTTTAATATGAGTCCTAACTCTGTTATGCTACAGATAGAGGTCCAGAGAAGGAAAAGTACTTGATGGTTCCATGTTGCATATTATACAGCTAATTAGTGGCTGTGTCTAGAGTCCTTTCCTAATTATGGTTCCTAATTATGTTTTCCTAATTATGGTTGCTGTTGAGCTCAAATGAAATTTATTTTCTTATAGACTGTCCTCTCATATCAGGTAAAGAAAGAATGAATATATTTCTTTGTAATCTTTAAAGTGGCACATAAGAAAATGCTACCACCTACCAAATTTAGGAGCAGCACGATTAGGGGAATTTGGTTGAGGCAAGGGAACCTACATAAAAAGTAGGACTTTAACAAAAAACTAAACCATAGGTACTGGACTAATAGTGAGCAGGATTTGAGTAAAAGAGCAACTTAGGACATGCTTTAATATACTTGGACCCTCTTTCTCTATACCACCAAAAAAAAAAAAAAAAAAACTAAATCTAAAGGAAAGCTAAATTAGAAATTGAAGTAGCCTGTCTACCCACCTTCCCAACCTATTAAGGTTTCCTTAATAATAGTTAAACCAGACAGTGAAATACCTTTTGATTTTACCTTCCTTTGCTTGCATATATTGCCAGGTATTTTTTTTTTACCTTGGTTTTAATTAATATACCAGATAAGCTAATTCCTTTTTTAATTTACAGGTTGTAAAAGCTGTTTTACAGGTTGTAAAAGCTGTTTCAGAGAATACAAGTATTTATCCCATTATCTAATTCCTCAGATCATATTGACAGAGTCCAGATATCCAGACAAGCATTTCAGATATATGTTATTTTGAATTAACAGTCTTCTGGAATTAAGCTATTGCTTAGAGCAGTGGATTGAAAACAATTCTGCAGAACCTAGGGTTCCATGGAAGTGTTTAGTGATGGTATGGGGATAAGAGAAAAGCCGCACAGGCAGGGTTTGATAGTGAGCTTTCCAGCCCCAAGTTAATCAGAGTAGCTTCAGGTGTTAACAGGTATTATATGTTGACGTTCTCAGTGAGATGGTATTTGAAAGATTTTTTTGAAAGGATTTTGCTGTCAAAAAAAGGTAGGAAATGACTCTCGGATGCTTAGTTAAGGCACTTTTGGAAATGCATTAATTATTTCAAGTTACTTGCAATTATTATTACTTTAGTATTCTAAATCAGTGACATGAAGGAGTTATGTACCTTTTAAAGTCCTTAGTTGGTTATCTATTGAGTCATTCATTCACCTTCCTAAGTACTTAATCAATAAAGAACATATAAAAGAGAGTCCATTTCACTTTAACATGTTGTCATAAGCACAGTAGTATATTCTTTATGTTATTATGCTTTATTAGATGCTTGAAAAATTGTGGCTACAACTTCGGGTTTTATAGGATGTGAAAAATACCTAGGTTTAATAAAGAATAACATCGTCAATATCTTTTGTATAGGTAAGTATCAATATTAGATTGAGAATACTTTTCTTAAATTGGATATAACAGCTAAGAAGTATTATTGAATTGAGATTCTTAAGAGACTTTTAGCTTCTATCTTGATTGTTTTTATTACCTAAAGAATAATTTAACAGAGGGTAATAGCTTAAAGGGGTGCAAGTAAAGCATTATAGTATAAGAGCATCAAGTTTCTGGTGGCATCTATTTGGAATTTAGTAATTTGTTTGAATTTTATAGGTTCTAGGTTTAAGAAAATTACTTATCCTTTGGGACTGGCGACTTTTGGAGCAACTGTTTGCTACCCAGTTCAGTCAGTAATAATTGCTAAGGTAAGTTCTTTTTAAATGATAGCAACATTTTAGTATTTGTTTAAACTCTCAGACAGTATTTAAATATCACACAGCACCTGCAGCATTTAATTTTCAGAGATTTAGTTGGTATCAACTCTTATATTGGCAAAGTCACATTAGCATCTCTATGGTAAATGACATTCTTAATTACATGATCACTACAAATAAATAAGATGAATATGTTTAAGTATAATTCAACAATGTAAATACAGGTTTGAGGATTAACTTCAGAGATACTGAATTAGAATTTATGGGGAAAAATAGTGCTCCATTGTTGAGCAATATAAAATTCAACTTTTATTTAACAGAAGATTGAACCTGCTGGCTTCTATTCAGTTCAGCAGATTAACATAATGCAAGAAGCAAGTTGACTGATTACAGAGACATCTGAAAGTAACACACACACACACAAACTAAATTTTGAAACCAATTGGAACTAAGAAACACCTTCTATAAGTGATTATAAGTTATGATTATTTTGCTATTTTCTTTTAAGCTTGCCTACAAATCCAAAGATTTTCTTAATGATTTTAATAATTTTTTATTATGTTTTATTTTTAATACATGTTCAGATTGAGAAGGAAAGCTTTGGGATCTGCATTTTATCCTTCTTTCTTTCTCCTCTTAATTACCAACAGTTAACATTTCTCCCTCACACTCGGAGCAGTGTGTAGTGTTATACTAAAAGGACTTTCTGTACTTGTATTCTCATTACTCCATCTCTTTAATTATTGATTAGATAAAACTGCTTATTCAGTATCTTGAGAATATCAAGGATATAGTTTGTAATGTGATTGACCTATAAAAGCTCATGACAGAGGAAGAGAACACTTTCATTAAGTTTAGTTATACTTGAGATTATTGATAAACATTTTAAAAACTCTTGCCTAAGAATTTATATAGGAATTAACTGATTAAATTAATAAAGTGTTACTGTTGAAAGAAAATGTGGAACCCATTCAACTAAACTTTGGTATTTTTCTCATTTTCCCATAAGGGAACTATAGCCCAGAGAGGTTTCATAGTGACTGACTTATACTCAGCCTCTGGATTCCTTGTCTATTTCTTCCCAGTGGATGATGCTGCCACTGATTCAACTTTTTTTTTTTCCTTTTTTTTTTTTATTGTGAAGTTGTGGGGTACAGTTAAGGGTTAGGTATACAATTGCGTTTCATTCAGGCCCTGTTGATATGGGGTGTTTCCCCGTTCCCAGACAGATATTTGCTACTGTTAATCCCATCTCCCTCCCTCCACCATAGTTTCCCAGTACGGTCAGTCATTTTCGTATAGTATTGCATTGGATGTTTAAGGTCCATTATATGAGTAAGAACATGTGATACTCGGATCTTTGTTTCTGTGAGAGGTCACTCAGTATTATAGACTCTAGTTCCATCCAGGTTGCTGCGAAATTCATGATTTTGTTCTTTTATATGGCTGCATAGTATTCCATCGTGTATATGTACCATATTTTTTTAATCAAGTCCTCTTTTGACGGGCAGCATGGCTATTTCCAGGTTCTTGCTATTGTGAACAATGCTGCGATAAACATGCGTGTGCAGGTATCTTTTTTATAGAGTGATTTGTGTTCTTCAGGATATATTCCCAGTAGGGGGATTACGGGGTCATATGGGAGGTTGGTATTTAGAGCTTTTAAGAATCATCACACTGCTTTCCACAGAAGGTGCACTAGTTTACACTCCCACCAACAGTGTAGAAGTGTTCCCTTTTCACCACACCCTCTCCAGCAGCTGTTATTTTTTGAGTTGTTGATGATTGCCATTCTGACTGGGGTTAGGTGGTATCTCAGTGTGGTTTTGATTTGCATCTCCCTGATGATTAGTGAGGTTGAACATTTCTTCATGTGTTTGTTGGCTGCTCGGATGTCTTCCTTTGTGAAGTGTCTGTTCATATCTTTTGCCCATTTTATAATGGGGTTGTTTGTTTTTTTCTTTTCAGCACGTTTGAGTTCCTTGTAAATCCAGGATGTTAAGCCTTTGTCGGACCTGGAGTTGGCAAATACTTTTTCCCAGTCTGTAGGCTGTCTACCTGCTCTCTTGATGGTTTCTTTGGCTTTGCAGAAGCTTGTCAGTTTAATAAGGTCCCACTTATCTATTTTCTCTCTTATGTCCTGTGGGTTTTGGGTTTTGTTCAGGAATCGGATGCCAGTTCCGATTTCCATGAGGGTTTTTCCTTCATTTTCTAAGGTTCTTATGGTTTGAGGTTTTACATTTAGGTCTCTGATCCATTTGGAATTAACCTTTGTGCATGGGGATAGATAGGGGTCCTGTTTCAATCTTCTGCATGTGGTCAGCCAGTTTTCCCAGCACCATTTACTGAATAGGTTCTCCTCTCCCCAGTGGTAGGTGGTGGAGGAAT